AACCCAGGGCGTCTGAGAGGCCAGGCGGTCGTGCAACTGGTGGGGATACGCGAAGCGTCTAGAATTTGATGGCGGCGAGGCAGCGATAGGGGGCGCTCGAAGAGCTTGTCCATCTCGGCCGTACGATTGCCCGATTCGGATCGCTGATGCTTTGCACACCGCGCGCTGGCATCCTTCTCTCTCCACTCTTACTGTTATCACTGCGTTTGAAACCACTACTCTTATCATTCGCCGGGTGCCGCGCTCGCGTAAATGCGTTGACCCTCCATTGTGCAGTCCACGAGCCGTACGTGTTCATCCCCAAACGCTGGACGGAGCCCGTCGCGGCCTCCACCCATCCACTAAGGAGTCTCACTCGCTCTGCGCTTCACCAGCTCCTGATGCTGATCATCGATGCCCTCGATACTCCACGCTATCTCCGTAAGATTAGGCGCAGAGTCGGTGTTCCTCACCTCCTGCTGTTCTCTTCCCCCTCCCTCCTCCGCCCTCCTCCTCCTCCTCCTCCTCCTCCTCCTCCTCCTCCTCCTCCTCCTCCTTCCTCATGCTCCTCCTACCTCCTCCTCCCCCGCCCCCTTCCCCTCCTCCTCCTCCTCCTCCTACCCTCACCTCCTCCTCCTCCACCTCCTCTCCTCGCTCCTCCTCCTCCTCCTCCTCCTCCTCCACCTCTCCTAACTCCTCATCCCCTCCTCCTCCTCCTCTCCTCCTCCTCCTCCTCCTCCTCCTCCGCATGCTCCTCCTCCCCCGCACCCCTTTCCTCTCCTCCTTCCTCCTCCTCCTCATCCTCCTCCTCCTCCTCCTCCTCCTCCGCCTCCTCCTCCTCCGCTGCTCCTCACTCCCCTCCTCCTCGTCCCCTCCTCCTCCTCCTCCTCCTCCTCCCTCCTCCTCCTCCTCCTCCTCCTCCTCCTCCGCATCCTCCCTCCTCCTCCTCCTCCTCCTCCGCATGCTCCTCCTCCCCCGCACAGCCGCCCTTCCTCCTCCTCCTCGCTCCTCCTCCTCCTCCTCCTCCTCCTCCTCCGCCTCCTCCTCCTCCTCCTCCTCCTCCTCCTCCTCCGCATCTCCTCCTCCTCCTCCTCCTCGTCCTCCTCCTCCTCCTCCTCCTCCTCCTCCTCCCTCCTCCTCCTCCTCCTCTCCTCCTCCTCCTCCTCCTCATCCTCCTCCTCCTCCTCCTCCTCCGCATGCTCCTCCTCCCCGCACCCCTTCTCTCGCTCCTCCTCCTCCTCACTCCTCCTCCTCCTCCTCCTCCTCCTCCTCCTCCTCCTCCGCATGTCTCCTCCTCCTCCTCCTCCTCCTCCTCCTCCTCCTCCTCCTCCTCCTCCTCCCCTCCTCCTCATCCTCCTCCCTCCTCCTCGTCTCCCCTCCTCCTCCTCCTCCTCGTCCTCCTCCTCCTCCCTCCTCGTCCTCCTCTCCTCCTCCTCTCCTCCTCCTCCTCCTCCTCCTCCTCCTCCCCTCCTCCTCCTCCTCCTCATCATCATCCTCATCCTCCTCTTCCTCCTCCCTCCCCTCCTCCCCTTCCATCTCCCCCTCCCCCGAAATCATCGAGCCTCTGGCACTGGATGTCCCTCCCCTCCTCCCCTTCCATCTCCCCCTCCCCCGAAATCATCGAGCCTCTGGCACTGGATGGCATCGGCGCAGAACAGGCGCCGCGACTTGCATAAATGCACGTGCAGTGTCAGCCAAACGAAAAAAAACAGATCCAGATGCTCGGGGTCGCCCAGCATGCCCATCTGCGACTGCCGACGACGGGACGATCGAAACCCGCCCCTCCGCGCCCCCTGCCCCCCTTCCCCTCGCACCACTCCCCCCAACCCCTCTCGCCCTCCCCCTCTCCTCTCCCCCACCCTTCCCACCCTCCCCCCCCCATCCCTTCCGCCGCCGGCGACGGCGGCAGGGCGGCTCCCCGACGCCGGGCACCGGGAGCTGCGCCACCTCCGCCCCCCGACGCGCCCCCGCGCGCGGAAGGGAGGGGGGGGCGGCGGCGCGGAGGGGAGGAGGAGGAGGAGGAGGAGGAGGAGGAGGAGGAGGAGGAGGAGCAGGAGGAGGAGGAGCAGGAGGAGGAGGAGGAGGAGGAGGAGGAGGAGGAGGAGGAGGAGGGGGAGCGGGAGGAGGAGGGGGAGCGGGAGGAGGAGGAGCAGGAGAATAGGATAGAATAGAATAACGCAATGGGGTTCCTGAGTCCACGAACTCGAGGAAGCGCTAAGCCCTGCGCGCTGCGTTTGCAGCTCGAACCCTGCGGAACGGGTGGCCCGTCGGGTGCCAACCCGCGCCGCCTCTACCGAGCGGTCTCCCATCGGGGCGCGCAGCCTGGGAGATGCCCAGCTTAGAGGACCAGGCTTCTGCTCGTACCCTCACGGACAAACACGATGGGGCGCGAGGAGACCTCACCCCCCGTCGTCGGCGGGGGGGGAGGGGAGGAAAGGCTTTGTCCAGAGGGGGCCGCCGAGGCCGCCTCAGATTCGAGAATCCCTCCCTCCCTCCGCCCACGACTCCCACGACGACCAGTCCCACGACCACCTCCCTTTCCCTTAGTATTGGTGGAAGCCGCCTTTGGCACCACCATCACTGGCGCTTTCGGGAGCCTGGGATCCGCGTAAGAAGGCGCGGCGAAAGTGCGGTCCAGGACATCCCGAGAAACGACGCCCCTGGAAATCAAATCCCTGAGCCGAGCCGAAGTCGCCAGCGGGGTAGCGGAAAAGGCTGGCGGCAGGCGGCGAGCAATCACAGTGTCGTGAGACTGGCTAGATTCATTCATCGCAGAGCCCTCGATCACTACAAAATCCCACCGCTGGTCTCATGTAAAGTCGGGTTCACTTGATCTGCGCTCCAAGCCATCTCTCTGTCGGGCCGCGTTGGGCCGCTCCAGGAATGGGACCGCACTGCTCTACTTTGACCAGATACTCCATCAGGATGGGCCATAGCGTCCTCGCCGTCTCGAGGTCCTGAGTGTTGAGCGCCACCGTGAGGACTCCTCTCTTCTCCATTGGTTCGTCCTGGCCCCCCTTGACCTGTCGAGCCTTTCTGTAGCGGCACTGCAGAACGAACAAACCCAACTGTGCGGGAGTCTGCATACGAACGACCTTCGTCCAAAACTCCATCATGGCAGTGTGGCCCTGTGCGTTGGGTGCCCGACCCTCGGGCGCTAGCTGACCGATGGCGCGCTTGATGATTACCACGAAGAGTGCGACCTGTGGGGCGCCGCGAGCCTTCCAGTCGATGTGTTCTCCTGAGCGCTGTCTCTCCTTGAGGGACTTGGAATCGTCGTCGTACTGTTTGTTGGCCTGCACGCACTCCGCGCCGAGGGAATCCGCGCCCTCGTGCACGAAAAAGGCGCGATATACCACTGACTCCAGCATCGCCACCCTCCTCTCCAAGTTGAGCACCAGCTTCGCTGAGCTGTTCACCGTCGAATATGCTTCCGGCTGCGTCGAGTCCTTGCGGCACTTCTTCTCCTTCACCCACGATCCTGGGTCCGCGACCGCCTTGACAGGCGTCATCATCCAGTCGGGCATCTCCAGAGAGGCGGATGCACTGGCTGCGGCCGCGGCCATCAGCTCCACGAGAAGAAGAGCCCTGTAGCCTGAAGCGTCGGCAATGAGACATGGACGGGAAGATGCTCGAGTAGATGTTCACGGCTGAAGTCGTCGTAGTTCGCACCCTCAAACTCGCACAGTTGGCACTTGCATATCGGAGGCCCCAGGAAGGCAGTGATAGACGAGGCCCCTCTCGGATCGCATCGGCCGCGTTGAATCGCACTCTGGGGGCGTCGGCTAGCGGTAATCTGGGTCGCGAACGTCCTCTGGCAAACGATACACGAGTTAGATGGCGTGAGAATGTGCGCAACATTTCTAATACGATGACGGCGCCGAAGGTGTGCTGTAAGACCCCCAGGAGTGCGGAATGTAGCCCCACGTGGGGTCCCATCCTGCATGTGCGCGCACGTGTACGTCTCCTCCTCGTCTCCCACCTCCACCTCAAGGTCCCTGAGCTCGAACTCCCCCCCCCCCCCCCCGCCCCCTCCAGACCCGGCGGGGCCACGCAGACCGTGAAGACAGAGGCCCGATACTCCCCGAAGTCTGAGGAACTCCCTACGCTTATTATCCTCGGACGCACGCAGGTGCCAGGGGGGCTCCGCGAGGTCCAGTAGGAGGTCCGAATGGCCCAAGCAGGCGGCGGCGGCAGCGCGGAGATCTGAACGCATCTGGAGGGCCCAGGGCGACGCATAGTTGGCGAGGCCGCACTCGGGCTCGCAGGGGTCGAAATTCTCGGGCTCAAAATCGAGGAGGGAGAAAAGGGCCGCCCAGATCTGCTTGTTGACTTCTGGGAAGCGGGCCCAAGACTGATACCAAGAGAGCCGCCTAGCCCGAAGTTCCACTTTGCAGGGGGCGACCTTCCAGAAGTCCAAGACGCGCTCGTTGGTCATGCTTTTTTGGTGAGTGGGCCCTATCCAAGACGCACCTCCACACATCGCAATCCTACCCAGCTTGGCAAGGCGGGCGCCCATCACGCTGCACTGATGGTCGCCCAAGCAGAAACACTCCATAGCAGGCAACAGCGTATTCTGCACGAGCGAGAGAAACAGGGCACGCTTCCACCTTCGCGGAATCCTCAAAGACCAGACTCCTCCAAGACTGTAAAAGGCCGAATGCGTCGCAGAAAACCTGCGAGCCAGCTCGTGCGAAGTCGTCTGAGAAGGAGAAACCACGGGGCCCAAGTATCTGGCGACGTCTTGTACGTTGCCTTCAACAGCTCCCTGTCTGCTCATCCATTGTTTGCAGGCAATTGCTCCCTTTCCGCAAAAATGAGAACTGGCGACTTGCTTCTCACGATTCTGTTGTAGTCCATCCATCTTCAGCGCAGCATCGAGAATGTCATCCGCCTTGGCAAGGGACGCGGTTACCTCCTGCACCGTGGAGCCCACCATGAACGGTACTGCGCGGTGTAGATCGCCGGCATAAGCACAGTGGGACAGGTCAAACACGTCGTCATCAGGCAGAGCCCCGCGCAAAAGAGAAGTCCCAGGTTGGTTGGCCCCCACGCCAGCTGCCCAGAAACGCATCGGTCGGACAAAGGCGCCCAGGAACGCGTAGACAACATAGGGGTCGCCCACCATCCCGCCAACCTTCGGCTTCATGTAAAAAGTGCCCCCATCGGCCTTCATCTCGATGACCCCGTCCTCGCACCTGGCCTTGCAGAGGACCCAGTCGGCATGAACGGCGCAGTTCTACACCACCTCGTCGAATGAATGCCAAGCCACACTGCCGAACGCATTGGAGAGGTCCTTCATCGCGCTGGCGAAGCGGACCCCAGACTTGCGCAGGCGCCAGGACAGACACTGCGTCACCAAAATTGCGCCTTCAAAATTGCGCGCGAGGAAGCCTTTGCTGACGGCGGGCAACGAGTGAATCACGCGCTTGCCAAGCGCCCCAGGCTTAGAGTTGCCCTTGCAAAGCCCATGTCCCACGCTGCGCGACCAGTATAAGGGGGCCAGGTTAGTGCGCCTGATGAAAGTGAGCCCTAGCAGCACCAGTTCCTTGAAGATGCCCACGCACACAGGAGGGGGAGCGAAGCCCAGCCCCTGCCGCGCAGGAAGCACCCCCTTGTCCGCCGACAGGCACAACTCCCAAATCTCCGCAGGAGCCGTGTTCACGGGGATGGCCCGACGCTCGGACGTCTTGCGGAAGTATGGGACCAGCGCCGCGTAGTCTTCCGCAGCACGGTAGGTTCGTTCACTATCTTCAGCAGCGGACAGGGTAGTGTGAGGAAGATGGTCTCGCCGTTGGCGCCACGCCGCCCAGTCAAGCTCCCCCAGTCGCATGCCGCCCAGCGGTCCGTCCTTGCGCCAAACTTCCAGCCAATCTGGCTTACTGAGTGCGGTGGAGCCCAGCCGTCGTCCGTCGCGATGGCGCGCGCCAAATCGGCAGCGAGCGGCCTGACGCGAGAGGCGAGCCGCATCGTGCATCCGCCTGTCCCTCCAAGCCTGGCGAACCTGGTCGAGCAGGTCCTCCTTCGCAGCTAGTAGAGCGCGTCGGCGTTGGTTGGCGAGTTGTCTCGTGAACCCCTTCAGCTGTTGCTCGATGGCGGCCAGGGCGTCGTCCGTGAAGTCGGAGGGTGGCACGTTGGTTCGGTCGCGTCGTAGTGCGGCACGAACTTCGAGAAGGCGACGGCGTCCCTGGCAATCGTGAGGGCTTGGTGCGGCGGCTGGTTTAGCGAAATGACGGTGGCTAACCGTGCAGAGCAGCTGCTCGAAGGCCTCCCAGTAGTCGTCGGGCGCCGGGCGCAGGGCCAGGTCGCGAAGGTGAGGTTCGCTGTCGCGGAGCTGGGTGGCCAGGTCGTCAAGGAAGGCCGCTTTGCCCTCGCCGCGCACGATGGCAGCCAACATCGCGTCACCATTCAGTCGAGGAGGTGGCGCTGGAGGAAGGTCCCCAGGGTCCTTGGTGTACTGGAGCTGCAGTAGGACAGGGATGTGATCCCGTGGTGGTACTCCTCGCACAAGTTGCAGGATGTCGCCTACGCTGCGCACGATTTGGGCCCGCTGCAGTCGGTCCAGCCAGCCTCTCGGGGGGAACCAGTAATCAATCATGCTGCACGTAGGAGGCGTGGTGGACGAGTAGAACGTCGGGGCGTAGGGGCCGTACGAGGTGGCCGAGACCATCCGCTGCTCCGTGAGTAGATGACGCACCAGTTCGCCCGCTCCCTGTCGACGGCGTTCGCGAGTGCGCGTATCGCCCAGTGCCGAGCAAGGTGGTTCATACCGCTGTCCTCCAGTGAGCTGTGCACCCAAACCGTCGTTCAAGTCAGCGTAGAAGAGGGGGAGCGTCCTGCACGGTAACTGAACCATGACTGAACGCCACCAGTCAGTGAGCTCGCGCACCGTCTCGTGGTAGATGCGGTTCTCACGATGGGATCGAGGCTGCGGTGGGTAGTAGAGCACCCCGCACGTCACATCTATCGCGCCCCTCTGCACGCGAACCGCGAGTCCTCGTCCTGCAAGTCGTGGTGGTGGTGTCCACGTCCGCTTGATATGTCTGTCGGAGTACCCCCGTCGCAGGACAACGGCGCAGCCCGTGGCATTAGTGGTAAGCATTCCAGGTTGTGCCACCGCTTCCAGTATCAGTCGTCCTTCCACCCGTGATCGTAAGACTCCGTCTCCAGCGCGACAAAAATTCTGCGTCCCACAGAGCAGGACCGCGTCGTAAGTGCATGTGTGGAATAAGATATCCAGCATCCGCAAGCCGTGCGCCCACATCGGGTTGTAGCCGAGCACTCGCAGCGCAGAGCCAAAGCCTGGCGCCATCCGCAGGCGTCAGGAGCGCACGGGAGTCATTGCAAACGGCAACGAGAAAGTGCGGGCGGGGCCTCAGGGTGAACCCCAAAAGAATGTTCGGTGGTGTGTCGCGGGGCTGGAGGAGCAGGAGGAGGAGGAGGAGGAGGAGGAGGAGGAGGAGGAGGAGGAGGAGGGGGTGGCGCGAGGGAGCGGCCTTGTCTAAGAAGGCGGAGGGGCCTCGTAGAAGGCAGGGGCCTCCTTGGAAGGACCCCAGAGGCAAGAGAAGCTTGGGAAGAGGCTTCCTGGAGGCTGGGCGGGCTGCACCTCCTTGCTGACGCCGCCGGGGCAGGATGGTCAAAAATCAGAGGAGAGAGCGAGGGGAGGTGGGCAAGCTAGGCGCGCTCGCGTCATATCCGACGTCCTACCCCTCCCTCCCATCCCCTACCATGGCGTAGATCTCCTCTCTACTCGCTCAATCGGATGTCGTAGCATGGCATAGCATTACATGGCACAGCATGGTGTTGGAGATGAACGCGTAGTCTGACGCCCCAAGGTGGGAAGGGCTTCTGCGGACCAAATAAATCAACGAATCGGCACCGATTGTGTAGTAATCACTTCCGATGGTTGCTTCGGGGACCCATTCTCTTGTTTTGAGGTCCTATTTGAAAGGACCGAAAATCATGCCGTGGCATGGCGCTGGAAATAATGACACCAGCGCTGCAGCGGGAGCACGATTCGGAGCACGATTCAAAATGAGCGGAAGCGCGGAGATGAAGCCAGCGCTGCAGCGGGAGGAAGATTCGGAACGCGCGGCATCCCGAAACTGAGGCCAGCGCCTCAGCGAGAACAGCATTTCGAAAGAAAACAACAACAACAACAACAACAACAACAACAACAACAACAACAACAACAACAACAACAACAACAACAACAACAACAACAACAACAACAAAAAACAAAAACAAAAACAAAAACAAAAACAAAAACAACAGCAACAACAACAACAACAACAACCACCACCACAACCACCACCACCACCACCACCACCACCACCACACAACAACAACAACAACAACAACAACAACAACAACAACAACAACAACAACAACAACAACAACAACAACAACAACAACAACAACAACAACAACAACAACAACAACAACCGCAGCAATAACAACAACGACAACAACGACAACAACAACAACAGCAGCAACAACAACAACATCAACAACCACAACGACAACGACAACAACAATAATACTAACACCAAACAACCACCACCAACAACAACACCAACCACAACAGCAACAAGAACAGCAACAACAACAACAACAATGATAACAACAACAAAAGAAACAAAACAACAAAAAAACAAACAACCAAAAAAAACTCGCCGACATCGTATGGGAAAAAAACAGACGCGAGGGGGGCCGAACACTCCGAGACTGATTCCGCCACAGATTCAGGGGAGAGAGGAGAGTAGTATTCATAGTGAGTAATTGTGGAGAGGGAGAGGGTACGAGACAAGACAAGACAAGACAGAAGAAGACAGGACAAAAACAGACAGAACAAGGCGAGGAAAGGCAAGGCAAGGCAGCGCAAGGCAAGGCAAGGCAAGACAGGCCAAGACAAGACAAGACAAGACAAGACACGACAAGACAAGACAAGACAGGACAAGACAGGACAAGACAAGACGAGACCAGACAGGACAGGACAGGACAAGACAAGACAAGACAAGACAAGACAAGACAAGACAAGACAAGGAAAGGCAAGACAGGACAGGACAGGACAGGACAAGGCAAGGCAAGGCAAGGCAGGACAGGACCAGACCAGACCAGACCAGACCAGACCAGACAAGACAAGACAGGACAAGACAAGACAAGACAAGACAAGACAAGACAAGACAAGACAAGACAAGACAAGACAGGACAGGACAGGACAGGACAAGGCAAGGCAAGGCAAGGCAAGGCAAGGCAAGACAAGATGCGGGTCAAGTCTCGAGATGCGGGGATAACGCCCACTGAGGCTCTCGGATGCGCAGATTACACCTACCAGCGGCCACCACTGGAAGGACAGCAGGGAGAGGGGGGGGCAAGGCGAGGGCGAAGCACGGGGCGGCGCGAATCGGGGAGGCTGGCGGACGAAGAGTGGCATGAGATACGCTCGCCCGCCATCGGGCAAGGGCGCCGGCGCGAGAGGCGGCGGCTCCCCGACGACGACGACAACTCCAGCTACGTCTCCTGCGACGACCACGGACGACGGACGACGGAGAACGACGGCGACGAAGAAGACGACGACGACGACGAGAACGACGAGGACGACGACGACGACGACGACGACGACGACGACGACGACCGACGACGACGACGACGACGACGACGACGACCGACGACGACGACCGACGACGCCTCCCCGAGGGGCTGGCGGCCCCGCCAGGCTGGCGGGCGCCACCAGCGGGCCGGTGCCGTGGGCGCCGTGCGCGCCGTGCGCGCCGGGCGCGCCGTGCGACGCCACGGAGGCGTGGCTGCCGAGGCCTCGGCGCGGCCGCGCCGACGGCGACGGCGGCGACGACGACGACGACGACGCCGCCGACGACGGCGACGCCGATCGACGACGTCGACGCCGACGCCGACGACGGCGACGACGACGACGACGACGCCGACGACCGACGCCGCCGCCGACGCCGCCGACGACGGCGACGGCGACCGGCGCCGCCGCCGAAGACGACGGCGACGCCGACGACGACGACGACGACGACGACGACGACGACGACGACGAGACGAGACGACGACGACGACGACGACGACGACGACGGCGACGGCGACGACGGCGACGACGGCGACGCCGGCGACGACGACGACGACGACGACGACAACCGACGCCGCCGCCGCCGACCTCCTCCGCCAGTCGCAAGAATTTCCCGCAATTCCCTGGAGGCCTCCGGAGGTCAAAAACGAGCAAAGCCGATCCACAAAGTGTTCTTAAGGCGTCCAACTCCGACCGCGGCGCGGGCGACAACGACAACAGCGACGACGACCCGTCCCCCTCCTGCCTCCTCCGCCTCCGTCCTCACTTCCTCCCTCGATCTTCCCCCTCTTCCTCCTCCTCCATCCTCCTACCCCCTGGGATGAGTCGCCCGCCTCCCGGGATAGAGGCCTCCCAGAAAGGCCCCAAGAAGCCAAATTCATTGATGGTCCTCGGGTTTGGGAAACTTTTTAGCATTCTTGCCGTTTCGATTTCTGGACGCTCCAAGACAGCCCACAAAGCCTCCAAGACCGCCCCAAGACGGCCCAAGAGGCCGGCAAGACGCCCCCAAGACAGCCCAAGAAAGCCCCAAAATGGCCCAAAAACCCTCCAAAAAGCCTTCTCGGGGCCCAAAATGGCCCCAAGCGGGCACAATAAGAGGGGGACACGAACCGAAAATTCAAGCCTTCCGCCCCGAGAGGGCCCCAGAAGGCCCCAAGAGTCCCCAAGAGGCCCCCAAGAGGCCCCCAGGAGGCCCCAAGAGGCCCCCAAGAGGCCCGAAAGAGGCCCCAAAACGGCTCCCAAGAGGCCTCCAAACTACCTCCAAGGGGCCCCCGAGAGGCCCCCCACGAAATCCCAACGAACATCCAATAGTTTCATATCCACAACAAAGGCACAGTGGCGGGATGGGCCGAAGGCCATTAGTATCCGCCGCCCCCTGTCGATTCATCGCAGGGGTGCCTGGCGTGTTAGACCATCTTGGTTTGGGTTTGGGTTCTTTTTCCAAAAGACCTCCCCCTAGGGCTTCGGCCCGTCCCGCCAGGGTCCCGGGAGGGACCTCAATTGCACAATTTGTCGCTCAAGATGGCCCAAGATGGCCTCCAAGATGGCCACGCTGGCCCAAGATGGCCTCCAAGATGGTCCATGATGGCCTCCAAGTCCGCCCAAGATGGTCCAAGACGGACTCCCAGACGGCCCAAGAGAGTCTAAGATACCTCCACGTTCGCTCAAGAGGCCTCCAAGACGGCCCAACACGACCCAAGAAGCCTCCAAGAGGTCCTCCAGGAGGCCAAAATCATTGATTGTTTATCGGTTTTTGATGGATTTTGACATTTGCTTTCGTCGGCCTTCCTACAGCTCAAGACGGCCCAGGAGGCCCCCAAGATCGCCCCAAGATCGCCCACGAGGCCTCCAAGATGGCCCCATGAGGACCCAAGAGGCCCCCAAGACGGCCCCAAGAGAGCCCCAAGACGGCCCAAGAGACCTCCAAGACGCCCAAGATGACCTCAAAGACGGCCCCGAAGCGCCCCAAGAGGGCCCCAAGTCGGCCCAGAAAGGCCCCCCAAACGGCTTCCGACGGCGTCGGACGGGCCAGGAGCCCACCAAGATGGCCGAAGTTGGCTCGAAGCTGGCCCAATGCCAGAAAAGGCCAAAAACATTGATTTTCCGTAGGCATTGATTGATTTTGACATTTGCTTCTTTTCGGCCTTCCGACGGCCCGATACGGCCCAAGAACCCCCAAAGATCGCCCAAAGATCGCCCACGAGGCCTCCAAGATGGCCCCAGAACGTCTCAAGAAGGCCCCAAGACGGCCCCAAGAGGCCCCCAAGACGGCCCAGGAGGCTTTTAAGACGCCCAAGATGGCCTCCAAGACGGCCCTGGAGCATTCCAAGAGGGCCCCAAGTCAGCTCAGAAAGGCCCCCCAATCGGCTTCCAACGGCGTCGGACGGGCCAGGGGCCCACCAAGACGGCCGAAGATGGCACTAACATGACCCAAGACGGCCCAACAGGCCTCCAAGAGAGCCTCCAGAAGGCCCGAAAAAGCAACAACACCAACAACAACAACAACAACAACAACAACAACAACAACAACAACAACAACAACAATCATTTTACCCGAACGCTCAGTGTTCTCACCAGTGCCAGGGTTTTCATGCGACGCGAGACAATACCCCCACTTCGTGGGGGGGCAGTTCAAGCTCTACCAAATATCCAAACGACTCTTCGCGACCACCCAAACCCAGCTTCCCGCCCTATGACGTTGGGACACTTCACTTCGTGGCGTGCGGACGACCGTGGCTACTACACTGGCGTGGGGTACACACCCACAGAACTTGGTCACTTATTCGGGGCGCGCGTGTGCCCAGCATCCTGCAATTGTGACATACAATACATGACACAGACAGACAGAGAGAGAGACAGAGAGCAGACAGAGAGAGAGACAGAGAGAGCGGAGTTGGTCACATTTTTGGGGCAAGTTCCTGAGATCGTCGTGTTTTTTGTTGGTCTTGCGCGCGCGAATGTCCACTTTACTTTTTTTTTGCAAGGGAGTATTGAAATTTGATTATGTTAGAACAAGAAAAAGTAGCTCGCGCGAGCTCATGTAACATAAATGTTGAAAAACCATTGGTTTTGTGGGAGTCGGACAGCGCGCGCGGGATGAAATTTGGACATTTTTTTTTGAAAAACCATTGGGTTTTTGATGTTTTTATGTTGAAATCGTTACGAAACCTAAGGTTCTGGAAGGATTTCGTCTTGCGCGCGCGAATGTCCACTTTACCTTATTTTTTGCAAGGGATTATTGAAATTTGATTATGTTAGAACAAGAAAAAGTAGCTCGCGCGAGCTCATGTAACATAAATGTTGAAAAACCATTGGTTTTGTGGGATTCGGACAGCGCGCGCGGAAGGACATTTTGACAATTTTTTCTTAAAAAACCATTGGGTTTTTGATGTTTTTATGTTAAAATCGCTACGAAACCTAAGGTTTTGGAAGGATTTCGTCTTGCGCGCACGAATGTCCACTTTACCTTATTTTTTGCAAGGGATTCTTGCAATTTGATCAAGTAAGAACAAGAATTTTCATTTTATAGTGTTTTTTGCAAGGGAAAACGGATACAACAAAACAACCGGATCCGGACACAATCCACTTTTCTGAAGCTTTCGCTAGAAAATGAAGGAAATGAGGCTGCGGCCTAGGTTTTGGAGGGGGGTCGTGTACCAGGGGTCCCAACAATAATTATTCTTTAGAAGTAATAATGTTCAACAACAACAACAATTACTAGCACGTGGGGACACTCCGTTCTCACCAGTGCCAGGGTTTTCATAGGAGGCCCGCCAATACCCCCACTTTGTGGGGGGGCCGGTTCAAGCTCTACCACATTTCCAAACGACTCTTCGCCACCACCCACACCCAGCTTCCCGCCCTATGACGTTCGGACACTTCACTTCGTGGCCTGCGGACGACCGTGGCTACTACACTGGCGCATGGGTACAGTGACTTGTTGTTGTGGTTTTTTAGGATGCGGACAGCGCGCGCGGGTAGAAATTTTGAAAATTCGTACAGATGTTTTTCGAGGACCTACGGTGCGATTCGTATGATTTTATGTTGCGCGGTGCTAAAATTCCTAAGAAACCCAATAGTTTTTGAAGATTTTGGCGTGCGCGCGCGAAGAAAAAACGAATGTGTCCCGCATGGTATTATTTGACAGGGATGATGGCCCTGGCAGGTGCGCAACCGTTGTTGGAGAAGTTCGAAGCACGTGAAAAAGTTGCTCGCAAAAGCCCGTTTGACAGAAATGTTTAAAAAGTGTTGGGTTTCCGACAAATCCGCAAGAGCGCGCGGGATGAAATTTTGACACTTTTTTTTTGAAAAACCATTGGTTTTTTGATGTTTTTATGTTAAAATCGCTACGAACACTAAGGTTTTGGAAGGATTTCGTCTTGCGCGCGCGAATGTCCACTTTACCTTATTTTTTGCAAGGGATTCTTGAAGTTTGGTTATGTTAGAACAAGAAATGTCCACTTTAGCTTATTTTTTGCAAGGGAAAACGGGGGACAACAAAACAACCGGATCCGGACACCCACGTTTTGCCTGAGACTTCCTCACGAAAATGATGAAAATGTGGCTGCGGCCTAGGCGCGGCGAGGGGGCCGCGCACCAGGGGTCCCAACAATAATTATTCTTTAGAATAAATAATGTTCAACAACAACAACAACAACAACAACAACAACAACAACAACAACAACAACAACAACAACAATAACAACCAACAACAACAACAACAACAACAACAACAACAACAACAACAACAACAACAACAACAACAACAACAACAACAACAACAACAACAACAACAACAACAACAACAACAACAAAATATTGGTTTCCCATGAGTTGTTGAAGGATTTTGGCATTTGCTTTTTGTTCGGCCTTCCGACGGCCCGAGACGGCCCAAGTGCCCCCAAAGATCGCCCAGGAGGCCCAAGACGGCCCCGAGAGGCCCCCAAGATGGCCCTAGAGGCCTCCAAGACGCTCAAGATGGCCTCCAAGACAGCCCAAGAGCCCTCCAAGACGTCCTCCAAGAAGGCCCGCAAGGGTAAAAATGGCCTCCAGGCGGCCAAGATGACCTTCCAGATGCCCACGTGTTCCCCGAAGGCTTTCCAAACCGATTCGGGGAACACATTGTCCGATAGCTCTGCAGGTCTGGCCTCGACGTTCGGCCACATAAGCGCTTCCAAAAAGGCAGGGGGCGGCGGTGATTCGCCGTAGGCGGCTTCGTACTTAGACCCCCGACGCATCGAGCCCGAATGCGTTCACTGTTGCAGCCAAGTCCCTGCGTTTTCTTGGCATCCAAGCAAAAAGGGTCCCAAATACAAAGTTTGGGGAAGAAAGGTCCCGTGGACCCTCCCAGAGTCCCCCCCCCAGGCGCCCCTCTCCCCCCCGCCCGCCGGAGCGCGGTGGCGGAATCGCGCGGCAGCGCCTCAACTGAACATCCACTCCTCCCACCCTCCTCCCGCTCTCCCTCCCTCGCTCTGCCACTGCCTCTGCCTCTGACTCTGCCCTTGCCTCTCCCTCTCCCTCTCCCTCCCCCTCTCCCGCCTCTCCCTCTCCCTCCTCCTCCTCCTCCTCCTCCTCCTCCTCCTCCTCCTCCTCCTCCTCCTCCTCCTCCTCCTCGAGGCGGTGATGCGGACGTCCTCCGTGGCCCGCGTGGTGGTCGTCGTGGTCCATGCGGACGCACATGGTGCCGACGCCTGCCGCCGGGAGGGGGGGGGGCTGGCCGCGGCGCGGCGGCCCTCGGGAGGAATCGGGATCCAGGGCTCGGCGAGGATCGAGGGGCCCATCGATCTCCCACCTCCCCTCGTCGCGAAAAATCCGCCGATCCGGCGTGTGAACTACAAGGAGCCTCAGCAAGAGCTTCAGCTTTGAGCCTAAGCAAGAGTTTCAGCTCTGCTTGGGGGGGGGTCGCCGGGGTGGCTCTGCCGGGGGAGGGGGGGGGAGGCGGTCCCCTATCTGGCGTTTTATTCATGATCTGCGCATCTGGACCCCCCCCGGGGAAAGGGGGGGAAATGGGGGGGGCGGTCCCCCATCTGGCGTTTTCTTCATGATTTGCGCATCCCCAAGATGTTTCGGGGGGTCCCAGGGACCCCCTCTCAGATCCAGCCGATGCCGCCCCCCGGACCCTCCGGGCACCCCCCCAGAGGAGAAGAAAGAGGGCCGCGAAGATCACCGAATCCAGAGCCCCCTGGATCGGCGGCACTGGCCGGAGGCCGTTACAAAAAACGGCTCGTCGGCAACGCTGGCGGGCGCGAGCGCGACCGCAGAGCGCGGCTGCAGGGCCCATCCCTCCAGCGGGCGCCGCCGCGGCAGGATCGCCACAGCGGGCGCCCCCTTACCCACGCGGGGACCGAGGTTGGTCGATGTTCGAGGATCGAGTGCATCGAGGTTCGAGTTCGATCGGGGAACGACATGAATCGAGGTTCGAGGTTCATCACAGATCGAGGTGAATCGAGGTTTGACTTCGTGGTCGAGTTCGAACTGCAGAGGCCTCTGGGGGACTCTGTCACCCAGGCAGAGGGAGAATTCGTCGTCGTCTTTGTCGTAGTCGTCATCGTCGTCTTCGTCGTCGTCGATTTCGCCGTTTTCTCGTCGTCGTGTTCGTCTTCTCGTCCTCCTTATTCTCGTCATCGTCTTCGTCTTCTCGTCGTCGTCTTCCTATTCGTCACCTTCGCCGTCTTCGTCGTCTTCTCTTCGTCGTCTTCGTCGTCTCGTCGTCGTCGTCGTCTTCGTCTTCACGTCGACGTCTTCGTCACCTTCGCCGTCTTCTTCGTATCCGTCTTCCTAGTCTTCGTCGTCGAAGGGTCGAGGGTCGAGGGTCGTGGCTTGAGGACCGAGGAATGCAGGTCTCCTCCTCCTCCTCCTCCTCCTCCTCTTCCTCCTCCTTCTCCTCCTCCTCCTCCTACTCCTCCTCATCCTTTTCCTCCTCCTCCTTCTCCTCCTCCTCCTCCTCCTCCTCACTTCGCTCCCCTCCTCCTCCTCCTCCTCCTCCTCCTCCTTCTCCTCCTCCTCCTCTCCTCCTCCTCCTCCTCCTCCTCCTCCTCCTCCTCCCCCTCCTCCTCCCCCTCCCCCCCCCTCCTCCTCCTTCCTCCTCCTCCTCCCTCCTCCTCCTCCTCCTCCTCCTCCTCCTCCTCTTCCTTCTCCTTCCCGACAAGGTGGAGCAACAGGTCGGAGTTCGTACCGTTCCCGTTCGAGTTGCGTCGGCCAGCCTACTGCCGAACCATAACCAGCCTCCCTCCTCCTTTTCCTCCTTCTCCTCCTCCTCCTCCTCCTCCTCCTCCTCCTCCTCCTCCTCCTCCTCCTCCTCCTCCCCCTCCTCCTTCCCCAACAGGTGGAGCATGAGGTCGGAGTTCGTACCTTTCCCGTTCGAGTTGCGTCGGCCAGCCTACTGCCGAGCCATGATCAGCCTCCTCCTCCTCCTCCTCCTCCTCCTCCTCCTCCACCTCATCCTCATCATCATCATCATCATCATCATCATCATCATCATCATCATCATCATCATCATCATCATCATCTCCTCCTCCTCTCCTCCTCCTCCTCCTCCTCCTCCTCCCTCCTCCTCCTCTCCTCCTCCTCCTCATCCTCATCCTCATCATCCCATCAATCATCATCACCATCATCATCATCATCATCATCATCTCCTCCTCCTCCTCCTCCTCCTCCTCCTCCTCCTCCTCCTCATCATCCTCATCCTCATCCTCGTCCTCATCTCACCATCATCATCATCATCATCATCATCATCCTCCTCATCATCCTCATCATCATCATCATCATCATCATCATCAGCATCAGCATCAGCATCAGCATCATCATATCATCATCATCATCAGCATCATCATCATCATCATCATCATCATCATCATCATCATCATCATCATCATCATCATCATCATCATCATCATCATCATCATCATCATCATCATCATCATCATCATCATCATCATCATCATCAGCATCCTCATCCTCGTCATAATCATAATCATCATCATCATCATCATCATCACCATCATCATCAGCATCATCATCGTCAGCATCACCATCATCATCATCATCATCAACATCAGCAGCATCATCAGCATCATCATCATCATCAGCATCATCATCAGCATCATCATCATCGCCATCATCATTATCATCATCATAATCAGCATCATCATCATCCCCATCATCATCATCATCATCATCATCATCAGCATCAGCATCAGCATCAGCATCATCATCATCATCAGCATCAGCATCATCTTCTTCATCATCATCGTCATCAGCATCATCAGCAGCATCAGCAGCATTATCATCAGCAGCAGCCTTATCAGCATCATCATCATCAACAACATCATCACCACCACCACCATCATCATCATCATCATCATCATCATCATAATCCTCATCATCATGGTCATCATCACCACCACCACTACAATCATCATCATCAGCAGCAGCAGCAGCTGCAGTAACATCATCATCGTCATCATCAGCATCATCATCGTCATCAACATCATCGTCATCATCTTCATCATCAGCAACAGCATCATCATCACCATCACCATCATCATCATCGTTAACATCAGCATCAGCATCATCATCATCATCAGCAGCATCATCAGCATCATCACCACCATCATCAGCATCATCAGCAACATCAGCAATAGCATCATGATCATCATCACAGGGCTGAACCTAAACGGTGTTTTTCGTTTTCGTTGTGTTTTCGTTTTTCTTCGTTTTGTCTCCAATCCGCCATTAACGCAAAACGAAATCGAAACGAACACGGCCAACCAAATCGCCAAAACAAGGCTTAGGTCCACCCCTGCATCATCATCAGCATCATCAGCATCGTCATCGTCATCGTCGCCATCATCATCAGCATCATCAAAACCACCACCACCATCATCATCAGCATCAGCATCAGCATGATCATCATCATCATCATCAACATCATCATCATCATCATCACCATCATCACCATCATCCTCATCTTCATCCTCATCCTCCTCCTCATCATCATCCTCCGCCTCCGCCTCCGCCTCCTCCTCCTCCTCCTCCTCGTCCTTCTCCTCTTCCTTCTCCTCCTCCTCGTCCTCCCTTCCTTTTCCATAATAATGACTCCTCCCTGTCGCACCCCGAGACCTGTCCGAAGGGCGGGCCAGGCATTTCGCCTGAGAATTCCTCACAATTTACGGGCCTCATGCTTAAAAACTGGCAACAGTTTCACAGATGAAGGGCGGGTGGTTTTCAAAACGTGCCTCTCGCCGTAGCGCCGCGCACATTCGTTTTCAACATTTGGAAGAGCTTCACGGACTGAGGGCGGGTGGCTTTCAAAATATGGTTTTTGCCTTCGCGCCGCGCACAATTCTAAAAAATGTGAAAGAGAATCACGGATTGAGGGCGGGTGGTGTTCAAAATGTTTCTCTCGACCCAGCGCCGTACAAATTCGTCCTAAAAATTTGACAGAGCTTCTCTGATTCAGGCCGGTTCCTTTTCAAAATGTGGCTCTCGCCTGAGCACCGCGCACTCTCCTCTTCAAAATAAAAAAACAAATTCACGGACTATTATGGCTCACCTTCTGGAAGCTATGTTTTCGAACTATGCAGGACAGTCACGGCGCAACAGTTACGTTGATTCGCGGTGTTGAAGTCCCAGGAATGGTGTTCTGGCACGGTTCAGGATCGTCAAGACGCAACAATCACATTGCCTCGTGGCGTTGAAGTCGTAAGACGGGTGCTTTGGCACGTTTCATGATTTTAACACGGTTGTCTCCCACCGGTGCACGTCCCTCAGTGGAAGTGAATCCCTGTATGGGGCCTAGGAAGAGGGAGCTTAAAGGGAGGGTGTATCCCAACATCGCTGCTGAGTTTTGGGATTTCACTGGTTCTCCTCTTCCTCCTCCTCCTCCTCCTCCTCCTCCTCCTCCTCCTCCTCCTCCGCATCATCATCACCACCACCACCACCACCATCATCATCATTATCATCAGCAGCATCATCGTAATCGGCATCGTCATCGTCATCGTCATCAGCATCAGCATCGTCATCGTCATCATCACCACCACCACCACCATCATCATCATCAGCATCATCATCAGCATCAGCATCATCATCAGCATCATCGTCATCCTCATCATCCTCATCATCCTCATCCTCGTCCTCCTCCTCATCCTCTTTCTGCTCCGCCTTCCTCCTCCCTCCCTCCCTCGCTCCCTCTCTCCTTCCCTCCCCTCCCCCTCCCTCCCCATCCCCTCCCCTCCCCTCCCTCCCTCCCTCCCTCACTCCCCCATCTCCCCTCCTCCTCCTCCTCCCTCCTCCTCCTCCTCCTCCCTCCTCCTCCTCGTTCCTCCTCCTCCTCCTCCTCCTATCCCATCCTCCTCCTCCTCCTCCTCCTCCTCCTCCTCCTCCTCCTCCTCCTCCTCCTCCTCCTCCTCCTCGTCCTCCATTCCGTTTCCTTATTAATGACTCCTCCCTGTCGCACCCGAAGCCTGTCGGAAGGGCGAGCCAGGCGTTGCGCCAGAGACTTCCTCAACATTTATGGCCCTGAAGCTCAGAAACTGGCAACCGTTTCACACAATGGAGGGCGGGTCGCTTCCAAAATGTGGTTCTCCCCTTAGCGCCGCGCACATTCGATTTAAGAAATTGCACGAGACTCACGGATTGAGGGTGGTTTCTTTTCACAATGTGGCTCTCGTCTTAGCAGCGCGCACTCTCGTCTCAAACCTTTGCAAGAGTTTCGCGGATCCCCATGGTCAGCGTGCCAGAAGCTGTGTTTTGGAAGGGCTCAGGATTGTGAGGGCGCAACAGTTACGTGGTGTTTTGGCACGCTCCAGGGTCTTCAAACGGTTGTCTCCCAACGAGGTAGTTCCCTCAATGGAACTGAACCCTGTAAGGGACCTATGAAGAGGGAGCTTGGAGGGAGGGGGTATTCCAACAGCGGTGATGAATTTTGGCTTCCACTGGTCCTCCTCCTCCTCCTTCTTCTTCTTCTTCTCCTCCTCCTCCTCCTCCTCCTCCTCCTCCTTCTCCTTGTTCTTTCCTCTTCTCCTCCTCCTCCTCCCTCCTTCTCCGCCTCCCTCCTCCCTCCTCCCTCCTCCCTCCATCCCTCTTCCTTATAAACGACTCCTCCCTGTCGCAGCCCGAGGCCGGTCGAAAGGGCAGGTCAGGCGGCTCGCCTCAGGCTTCCACACCACTCACGATCCTGAAGCTTACCATCTGCAACAGCTTCACGATGGAAGGGCGGGTCGCTTTCAAAATGCGGCACTCGCCTCAGCGCCGGGCACGCTCGTCTGAAAAACTTGCAAGGAGCTCCACGGGTGGAGGGCGGGCCGTACTCACAATGTGGCTCTCGCCTCAGCGCCGCGCACAGTCGTTCTGAAAAAATGCGAGAGCTTCGCGGATGGAGGGTGGTCCGTTTTCAAAATGAGGCTCTCGACTTAGCACCGCACAGACTCGCTTTCAAGACAACGGCTTCGCGGATGGAGGGCGGGTGGTTTTCAAAATGTGGCTGTCGCCTTAGCGCCGCGCACATCCGCTTGAACAGCATGCAAGAGCCTCACAGATGGTTGGCGGGTCCTTGCTAACATGTGACTCTCGCCTTAGCTCCGCGCACATTCGTCTTAAGAGTCTGTACCAAGTTCAAGGATTCTCATGGTTAAGGTCGAGGACGACGAAGACGACGATGACGAGCGAAGACGACGAGCACGAGGACGCCGAGGACGAGGACGACGAGGACGACGAATACGACAAGGACGAGGGCGACGAAGGCGAGGACGACGAAGAGGACGAGGACGACGAAAACAACGAGGACGAGGACGAACAACACAGAGAGCGCTGTGCGGGCCGCGGCCTGGCTTGGAGTCGAAGACCCAGCCCCGGCCGTCCGACAGCTTCAGAAAGGTGATGCTCAGCTTGTGGTCGAACATCTCCTGGGCGCGGGGGGCAAACCCGCTGGCAACTCAGCGGCTCGAGCACCCCGGCCATGAGAGGTTGGGGGGGTCAGAGGGCCGGGGGGGAGCTCTCGGGGCCTTTGGGAGGACTCTCGTGGCTGCGGCCACGAGGAGGAGGAGGAGGAGAACAAGGAGGAGGAGAAGGAGGAGGGGGAGGAGGAGGGGGGGAGGAGGAGAGGAGGCAGGAGGAGAGGAGAGGAGGAGGAGGAGAGGAGGAAGAAAGGAGGAGGGGAGGAGGGGGAGGAGGAGAAGGGGGGAGGGGAGGAGGGGGAGGAGTGTGAGGGAGGGAGGGAGGGGAGGGAGGCATCGAGGAGCGAGGGAGGGAGGGATGGAGGAGGGAGGAAGGGGAGACGGAGGGAGGAAGAGGAAGAGGAAGAGGAAGAGGAAGAGGAAGAAGAAGAAGAAGAAGAAGAAGAAGAAGAAGAAGAATTAGGGACGAGGAGGAGGAGGAGGAGGAATGAAGAATGAGGAGGGAGAAGCGGGATTGCCCTCGAGACAGGCCCTGGGCCAGAATCAGCAAGGCAGCCGAGGCCGCCCGGCTCTGCCTGCCGAGCCCCTCGGCGCCGGGAACGCCTCGAGGGGACTCCCGCCCTTCGTCTTCGTCGTCGTCGTTGGGTCCGTCGAGGGCTCCACAGAGTCGGAGGCCACGACAGGGGGCGATCAGCCCAGCGGCGGGCATCGGGGGGCCTCGCCAAAGGCACGGCCCATGGGCGCCCCACGGGTGCACAATCCGCGGGCTGTTGGCCCCTGCAGTCGTCGCGTTCGGCCCGGGGGGCCAGCTCGCGGTCGAAAAGCTCCCGGCGTGGAGCCTGGGGGGGTGGTTCGTCAAGGTCCTCCTCCTCCTCCTCCTCCTCCTCCTCCTCCTCCTCCTCCTCCTCCTCCTCCTCCTCCTCCTCCTCCTCCTCCTCCTCCTCCTCGTCTCCTCCTTCCTCCTCCTCGGGGCCCTGAGGGGTGGGACCACAAGGATCGGAGAGGGGCCCCAAGCTGACAGAGACCCACCTGTGGGCCGCCGAGACCGGAGACTGGGGGAAGAGAGGGGAGGAAGAGAAGACACGCATGGTTCGGCGGCAGATGGGAGCCTCCCACACCATCTTGCTGGATCTTGCGAATCGGTGCGAGTCGACGCTAAATCGACGCTAATCGACGCTAATCGACGCAAAATCGACGCAACATCGACGCAACATCGACGCTACATCGGCGCTATCCCGTCGACTAGCGGACGCTAATCGACGCTCCCATGAGTTGCGAATGCAGTAATAGGGTATACAAGTCTCCCATGAACTGCGACCGAAACATGGGAGGTCAGACGACGGCTGGACGCAAGCAGACGCCGTCCGTTTTCGCGAAGAAAGACGTATCCCCTCCGCCAGTCTGGCTCCGCCCGCCCACTCGCCGGCGCGATGAGGAGCTGCAGATACGGCGGCGTCTTTCAAATGCGGAGAGCACACAAGGGGAATCGAGAAAAAAACGGAGCACCAGCGCATTCCCGTCAGCACTGGCGAATTCAGGCAATCCGCGTCTGCGCTCCAGACGCGGTCTGCCAGATCTCGAAACCTGCTGCCTACTCGTCACAAAAGCCCCGCGCGCTGCTGGCGTTAGGTCGGGCGTGTCCCCCTACAGGCAGGTTGCGTACGAAAAACCAGGAATCATGAAAATGCTCAAAAATGCCCAAAAATGGTCAAAAAATCCTCAACAGACTATGTTTTGATTATGTTTGCTTATGCCCCCTGTAGAGGGACAGGCCCGACTTAATGCTGGCGGGCCGAAGATCGGAGTGCGAGGATGACCTAGAGAGTCAGAAGATGGACGGGCAAGTTTGAAGCGATGGGACAACACGGACCGGGCATGGCTCCTTGCCTGTGGGAGGTTGCCGATCTTCAGCTCCGCGGGCACGCTGGATCACGCGCCGCAGCACTACCATTAGGTCGGGCATGCCCTCCTAGAGGCGGATGTGGGAAGAAACAAGCAGTCAAAGAGAATCTAAGACAGTCCGAGGAACACGAAGAACCGCCCCCAGACTAGATGTTTAGTGTGCTTGGATATTCCTCCTGTGGAGGCCATGCCCGACTCAACCCTACCAGAAGCACTCCCAGGCCACGCCGCACCACGAATCCCAACGACGGCGTGCCCCATCTGCAGGGCGGAGCGGGAGGGCCGGAAAAAATCTCGGGGCCGCCCGAGAGGGGAGCGTCCAAGAGCGGAAGCACGACTCGTGGAGACCACCTCCACACACTCCGGCACGAGGCCGTGGAGAGGGGGCCGTGTGCACAGAATCTCATCCTCTGGGGGCACGGACTCTGTGCACCGCACCCGCACGCAGGCTGGTCCTGCACGAGGCCGTGGAGAGGGGGCTGTGTACAAGATTTGCGTCCTCTGGGGACACGGACTTTGTGCACCACCCCGACGAACAGGCTGATCCGGCAGCGTGCGCGCGCGGGGGGGCAGCGGCCATAAGTCGCCCCCCAAAGAAGGGCTGTGGCAAATCACGGCCTGAGACATACGCGCGGCCGAGGGGGGCCAGAGGACGTGCTGGAGGAGGAAGAAGAAGAAAAAGAGGAAGACGAAGAGGAAGAAGAAGACGAAGAAGAAGAAGAAGAAGAAGAAGGAAAAGAAGAAGAGAAGAAGAGGAAGAAGAGGAAAGGGAAGAAGAAGAAGAAGAAAAAGAGGGAGAAGAGGAAGAAAAAGAGTAATAATCAGAAGAATAAGAGGAGGAAGAAGAAGAAGAAGAGGAGGAAGAAGAAGAAGAAGAGGAAGAGGAAGAAGAAGAAGAAGAAGAAGAGGGAGAAGAAGAAGAATAATGAAAAGAAGAGGTGCCATGAGACCTGGGAGATGCCACGGCCCCAGCCACGATATCCACACGCACCCATGATCCTCCCCCCCTCTCTTTCGGCGGCGCGCCGAGGGGGCCAGGGGGAGGGGGCAAGGCTTCGCTGCTTCTCAACAGAGCCCGCGCCTGCTACGAAGCAGGGGTGCTTCTAAGAGGCCTCCCCCCCCCCCCCTGCCCCCCTCTGCGCGTGGCCCCCTCTTGGACGCCCCCGACAACGGCGCGCCGACGGCCCCCAGAGGCACAGCCCAGGCCAGCCGCGGCAAGCCAGCGGAAGAGGCCCGGGAGAGGCCCCACAGGGGCAGGGACGCGAGGAGTCCTCGGGCAGAGCACCTGGTCCTGACCAGAATCAGGAATGTAAACACGAACCCAAAAGTTCGGAGGTCCGCGCGGACGCCCGAGAGCTCATGTCGCCTGTGCCGTGCCCCCTCCTTCGACTGGCTGAAAGCACCCGTAGTAGTGCCCACCAGCCCCCAGAGAAGCACGGGGAGCCCTCAGGGGGTCCAGGGGGCGCCACTGGAGGCGGCGCGGGCGTGCTGAGACCGCCCTGGTCAACCCTGCGGGTTGCTGGGGCCAGGCCGGGGCTGCCACCGAGAGGGCCGTGTGCGCGCAGCTCCGACCACCCTGACTGTTGACGGCGTGACCCTCCGCGGGGCTCAGCGCAGTCCTACAAACGAAGCCGCCTGTGCGCAGCTGCTCCGACGGAGCTCAGCGCAGTCCTACCACGAAGCGAGCGCGCAGCACGGTGCGCAGAGCGGATCAGCCTCGAGGACCTGTTGCTCCGCCCGGCCGTCTAAGGTGCCGCGGCCTTCCGAGGGCAGCGGCCCAGGGGGGGCAATGCTTTCAAGCTGAGCAAGAAGCCATGCATTGCAAGCTCTATTTGGGATCGGGGGAACATGTCGCCGTGGACGCCAAAAAGCGTTCCCTCGTCGGACCGACAAGCTCTGCGCAGGCGCGGAAGCCGAGGCGCGCGCGAGAAAACATCCGCCCTCACGCCCAGGACCGCGTGGGGCCGTCAGCAGGTGGCCACGGCCCTCGTGCAGAACGACCTCGGGGGGCGTCGACCCCAGGGGGCGTCCAAGAGGGGGGCTCGCAAATCGTGGTCCGAGGGGCGCGCGCGGCCCCGGGGGGGGGGGGGGGGGGCGCCAGGAGAGAGATTGAGCTAAGGAGAGGCGCCATATTCGAAACCTGGGGAGACATCATGGCCCTGGCCATGATATCCCCCCCCCTGGTCCCCTGAGATCCGACGCAGCGGAAAAAATGCCACATCGTGAAGAATCACGCCCGGAGGGCCCCAGACCCACGTTTTCCGCGCCGTGTTTCGAGCCGATCGATCCGTGAGGGCCTCGGGGCCCGGCAAGAAAAACTCGAGACGCCGGGATCGCAGGGCTAGTCCTCGACCCCCTTTCTTGGACGCCCCCGACCCTCGTACAGAGCGACCAGGTGTTCCTTCCCGGCGCGCCGCGCGAGCTCCAGCCCCGAGCGCTGCCCGCCGCCCGGGCGGCCCCAGCACGCCCGTGGATCCGCGCCCGCGAGCAGCAGCGCCGCGGCCACGCCCAGCTCGAGCCGCACGGCGGCCTCGCGCGCTCGCTCCGTCCACTCGGCGCTGCCGGGGATTCCAGGGAGGCCTGAGGGGCAACGTTAGAAGAAGAAACAAGGCCATGAACGTAAACTTTTGGCGCTCCGTGCGGATTTCTGGGATCCGCGCTGGGCCCCCCGGCGGCGCCTCCGGCGCCGCCCCTGGCGCGCTCCGCGCGCCAGGGAGGGGGGCCCAGCACAGATCCAAGGAGTCCGCGCGGAGCGCGAAAGCTGGTGTTTCTGGCGTTGTTCTACTTCTGAAAAGGTTAGGGGAGGACCGGCAGCTCAGGGAGGGGGGGAGCATCGGCCTGAGCGACGAAGCAGCACGGGCCTCGCGCGAGATGGCACAGAGACCTTTCGCGCGTTGGCTCGCGTGGGCTGCCGGCGCGGCACGCTGCACTGGAAGCGAGGGCACGTGCGCGCGACCCGCGACCTTGCGCGAGCAACTTGCGCGCGGACGTCCGCGCAGTCGAGCCCGTCGCTCGCCCCGAAAATCGGCGATGCATCACCTATAGCTCGGCGAGAGGCCCCCGACTGCAAATGCGCACGGCCCGGAACGGGGTGGGCTGCGGGGCCCCCGTCTCGGGGGCGCGGCAACGTGGGTCAGCGATCCGCCAAGTCCATGGATCGGGGGAGGCGCCCTCCCAAAAATGCGGCCGGCGCCGCCTCGCTCGGCGCCCGCGATTGCCCATGAAAAAGGCACCCGTCGCTAATCCGCGCCCCCATTGATCCATGTGTGTGATCGCCAGACTACCGGCGACGAATGGGCGATTGGGGGCCGATGCATCCCGCAAAGAGCCCGACCCCACGCAACGTTGCCCCCGAATACCGACAGGAGGGCCCTCTCTGGAGCTGAGGAGCTGGATCGGAAACTGCCCGTCGCCGCCCGCCACGTCGACCTCCGCGCCGTTCTCGATCAGCAGCCTGACGATCTCCTCGGTGCGCAGCAACTGTGTATATTGATACATGTATATACACATTCACCACACATGTATATATACTTATACAAGCATATGCGATAGCAGACCAACATCTAGACACACATATATATATATACATACATACATATACATATACATATACATATACATATACATATACATATGCATATACATACACATATACATATACATATACATATACATATACATATACATATACATATACATATACATATACATATACATATACATATACATATACATATACATATACATATACATATACATATGCATATACATATACATATACATGTTGGATGTGTTGTTTCGTGTGCCAGTGTAGCGCAAGGCATATGAAGTCAGCAGCGATACTATACAAGACGGCATGCGTCTAGAGCCTGGCGCGCGCAACTGGTGAGCCAGTCGCTTACCAGGCAGGGCCACGAGCTGAGGCGTGAGGGTGGCCACGGCGCTGGGCTTATCTTCTGTGTACTTTATCAGCGTCGTCGAGCCGCGAGTGGGGGATTTAGTGCCGGGTCGCCCCGGGCTGCATCCCAGCAAAATGTGCGACTGGAGTCACCATGGGTGTGCCAAGAGCCGGAGGCGGCTCCCGAACCGCGTGCCGCACACAGGGCACACAGCACTCGCAGGGGCAAACATGCGCT